GCCGTTAGTGCATGCGCCATGCTACGTCATTGCTCTATCACGTACGCACAGTCGCTTCGCGCAATATAAGGTTTGCTAGCTGTGGGACGAGTGGGAAACTTACTTTGAGGACGCGCCTCGTATATATGAAACTGTTTGAATTTATTAGTACATTCAAGACCCATCTCTGTGCAATTAAATAAAACTGACCTATTAGTTTCTTCATTTTGGATTTTGTCCATTATTAGTTGCAATATTACTTATTTTCAACAACTGAACATTTTGAAATATGGATCGATCTTGATCTGTCGGTTGGAGCTCAGCCTACTAGATTCAGCAGAGTAGGTATCCATCTTTTATCCTGAAGACAAAGACCCATCCTTTGAAATGTGTTGAAACTGCAATTGATGATGGACAAAGTTCAAAATGAAGAAACTAGTAATACAATACTTATGTCAAAGACATTTAAAGATCCTAGCAAAAATGTTTAAGAAGCTAATCTCTATCATAGTAAAAGCATTTTACAAAAGAATTGCCATCATTCATAGAAAGCCAAAATATTTACATAACAGTGGAATTACAACAGAAGCTACAGTACAGCAGGTCACTATTAACTTGGTTTGTTGGATCTGTTGTTGAACTTTTTCGTCTATGCTACAGGGTAAAATTACTACCTGATCATCACCAATCTGAATATTCTGAGAAGACATAATTAATTTCATTTCCTGAAAGTTTCTATCAAGACACTCTTCCTGTTTTTTAATTAATTGTAAAATTTCATCAGTAATCTCTGATGGCATAGTTACTGCTTTACTGTTCACTTTATTGTCTAATGTGTGAACCAGTTCGTTAAGTTGTCCAAGTATATGATTACTTGGGAGGGAAGCAGCATCTTTCATTTCACTGATAAACTTTGACAGTTCTTTCTCATGTTTGGAAAGAACTTCTGGCACATTTATAGCTATGTTTTGATCTCCATGTTTTAGTACCAACTCTCTTACAAGTTTTCTCAGTTCTTTCATTTTCATTTCACTGTTTACTGAGCTCCCAATTATACCAATTACAGTACCAATTACTGAACCTATTATTGACCAATATTTTGTTCTTTCAGCTTGAGCCCTTTCCTTTTCATGGCTTTCCTTGACTGCTGATGATAGGGTAGCAAAATAGTCCCGCTCCTCTCGCTCATACCTCTGAAATTCATCTACTGCCTTTCTTTCTTCTTTAAGAACACTGTGTTCTTGAGTTACGAGGTACACATATCGTTCTTCCCCTCGTGTTGTTTTATCTAATTCGGCGTATAAATCTTTCAGTTTGCTTTGAATTTCGGATACTAATTTATTGGCTTCTCTTCTTCGTTCTTGTGCGGAAACAAATTTTTTTTCAGCTTCAAGAACCCAGTTCTGTGCAGTTCGAACTTCATCCATACCAGTAACTTTTTCGTACCACTGAAGCAGTTCTCCAAACTTTCTCTTCACCAGATTTTCCGATGTGTTAATTCTGTGAATCGGAGCCGAATTTGATATTAACCTAACTTCACGTGCCAAAACATGACGTGTAACTATAACGTCTGATAAGCGAAGAAATGGCCAAACTCTATATGTTCTTCCTATCATCGTTTGTCTCAGGCCTCTTAAATATCGCTCACGTTTAGCTTGTCATAAGATTCAACACTACCCCGGTAACATAATGCTAAATTACAATACAAACGCAGAATCTCGTTTGTAACACATGCTCCTGTCGCAGATAGGTTATACCCTCATGTGTACGTGAAAGCCACAGGTAAACACGAATGTTTTGCTGTGTTCAAATTTATCTTTGGTGTTTTTTAATCCATGCCGGCTGTTTTCAGAACAGAAGAAAAGTATGTGTGGAATAGAACAGTTATTCTTTTTTATATATAAAATTTTTAAGGTCTTCTGAACAGGCTATGAAACTGCTCTCAAGTTAAAACACATTTTAACCACAAAAGCTAGAACCCAATTCAAGAGGAGTTCATGACAAGTCACACAACAATGTACAAAACAAAATCGGCACAACTTCAATTTTAAGCAAAATGTTTTTAGTGTGTTTTACGCAAAATAGTAACATATATGCTAGATCCAGGGAAGTCGTCAAAATTCAAGGTGAAATTTATTGCAGATGAGATGTGATAGTATTTTAAAAAACTCATCTTACGCTAGGCTTCGTATCGTCTCGTTCCTCGGTCAGTAAATTTTAGTTACGTTCCCCTCGATGGTAGGTGGCAGCACAATACGCATGAGGGTACTTCTCCAACCAACACAGAGTTCCATATCTGATTGCTTGTAATCTGTGGCAGTGAGTGCAGTCGTAGCTGTAAGCGATGTATTGCCCATGAAGACTTTTCGCTAAAACAGTGTTTTAAGGAATTTGTAATGGATGACAAGGGTTGGAAAGTGTTTCAAGATATGTGTCTTTAAGTGTGTTGTACTTTGCGTGTATTAGTAACGCCTACAAAATAGGGAATCTCGCCGTAAACGAGAGGCAGCGCGAGTCCCATCGGTGCTGCCTACCCACCATATTTCTTGATAACTGGCCTGATGCCATGGGTTGTTTTGGAGGTGGGGGCTCAAAAGCGGACCATGAAGAAAGTAAAAAGAATAAGGAGACAACAAAAAGGATAGACGCACAAATCCGGAAGGATAAACAGTTGTACAGAGCAACACACAGATTGTTATTACTAGGTAAATATTTTATCACAGAGCTTTGGGTTCAGTCGTCTAGTTTTGTCAGCCATATTGAGCAAGTAGTTTTGTTGATTTGTGTTTGTACTGCTGCTGATACTTGTTGTTTCGTCTCTTACAAGGTGCCGGAGAATCGGGAAAAAGCACAATTGTAAAGCAGATGAGGATATTGCACGTAAACGGATTTAGTGAAGAGTAAGTTCTCTCATTTACTTTCTTGCTTGATAGCCTCTAGGATTATCATAGTTCATAATTTAATTTAACCACGTAGTAATTATTCCAGGCTTTGTTCTAAGTTGTCTTTTTTTGTGTGTTACCTGAATTGTAGCATGTCAGAAGTTGGTAAATGTACTTGTAATATCCAGTTTTGTCATGTTATTGTAGTTGTCAGTCAACAACATTTGAGTCATTCTTATCCTTCTGTTTTTGACAAGATATAATTTTACTGACAGTACTTTGGTTTTTATTAATATAAGCAATGGGACATGTTCTGGATTGTCTTATTGAACAAAACTGTGTGTTCTGTCATTGTAACACAACCCTTTTAAGCCAAAGATTATTTAATAGTTTAGTCCCTCCTACTAAGAAAACACAACATGTCTCTGATAGATCTGTTGGTTAATGCTGTTTAAGGAAATTACTCAGATTATATGAAGCCCATAAATACACTTTGGGCAAAATGCAAGTTGATTATTAAAGCATGTGGTACAGAACATAGAGTTACCACCTGACTTCAAAAGATTAATGAAGTTTGAAACAAATTGTTTGCTTATTTTATTTTCTGCTTCATATATTAACTTTTAAACAGCAAGTGGTGTTGGGATGTAAATAGTGTAACCAAATTGAATTACAGTATGGAGTTTTCAGACTGTATGATTATATAAAAGGCTTTTGTGTGTTCCTCCATACTGAAACCACAATTTTTTTAGGTTTAGTATGTACAGTAGACATATTCATCTGGTTGCCCTAAGGGCAGTAGTCATTCTGTCCATGCCCTTTACTCGGTGGGGTCTATTCAAAAAGGAGCCAGAGATGGTGAATATTTCCCTGTGATACTGGAGGGTGGAACATCTTGGCTGTGGTGTGTTACAAGCAGCTTAGTAACAGCTTCTTTGTTGTTATTCACAGATTATGGACATAATCTCATGGGTTACATCAGGAGAAATAATGGCTTCATGCTTATATAAATTAGACTAAAATGCATACTGATGTACAACCTTCTTTTGGGTGCTGGCAAGCATGTTGAAGTTGACTTGTTATGATTGTTTCAAAGGTCCATCCTGTCTGTATACCCAGGGCCAAAGTGAGGAAGGTCTGGAAGTAGCTAACCTGCTTCATCCTTGCATGTTGAGGCAGTATTTTCAGATGTGTGAGAAACCAGTATTCCTTACTTTCTGAATTGAAAGATGATTTTTTGCATTCCAGTAGGGGTTCTTCACACTGTCATGTTGCCATTTAAAGTTCTTCACATCTTGTCGGAAATTAAAAACACACAAAATATGGATAGAGACATCTGCTATATCATATTCTTGCTAACAGTATGAAAGCAGAAGATTTTGTAGGACTCTATAAATAAAAATTAATTAATGACTGATTTGAGGGTTAGGTAGTTTGAATGATTTTGCTAGTTGTTAGGGCCTGAAAGTAAGTCAGTAATGCCTGTTACAGTATTTACACATATTATATTAGGTTAGGTCTAGTTACCATAAATGAAATCTAAACTGTTTGCCCGGTGAAGTCGATATGGTACGTTAAATTGGATAATGTGGCACATTTTCCTTCCGTTTGGTTTAAACATTATTTGTAATGCTGTTGAAATGGTTGGAGTTTTAGGAGAACTTATTTTGCTTTATTTTGGAACAGTTTTTCAGATGGTTAACTGTGCACTTGAGTAGTTTTAGCACTCACAGATATTACATTGTTACTGTTGTCTTATTTATGTGTACTGATGCTAGCAGAAACATAATTTTAAAATGTTTTCCCAGTGCCAAAACTCAGGGAAGCTTAAGGACACTGAATGTAAAGGTTTATGAATTCTAAACTTTGACATTAGATTGATGTTAGTGATAGGTTGTTGGAATTTATGGGCCATTGCTTGCTTTTGAAGTTGACTCATTTTTACTTCAGGCTGATGCTTCCCTGTTTTAATTCATCTGTTGTTCCCGGGTTAGCAATTGGCCAGAACTTCTGCTTCTTTAAAAGCTCTACTTGCATGTCAGTGCAGTCTGTACTATCAGATGAGCATAGTGAACCTGAATTTATTTATGTGTTTTTTCATGCTGTTTGCTCATGGTGGCACAGTGTATGACATGTAGTTAGAAAGATATTGTCTATTTAATCAACTATTATCATACAAATTAACTTGTGGAGATGGTTTCTACTGTGAGTGCTGATTTGTCATGATGCTGTATGCATCTTTTGTGATAATTTATGTAAATTCACTCCAGGTCTATCATGCCTATGCCAATGATATCGGTGTCAGTCATTGATTATTGCAGCAGCTAAATTTCTTTGCCTCTAAGGACAGTCTCTTGTGTCATTCTTGTGCTCAGAATTTCCTTGCTAATGGTGTCATAACATTGATGTATGATGACCACACAAGGGCACACTTTTATCATGTGCAAGCTTACCTCTTGGTGTGGAAGATAAAGGTTTTCAGGCTGTTCAGTGTGAACATATGTGCCAGTATCAATATGGGTATATTAGTTGTCTTCAAAAGGCCGCATTTGTATCGTTTGTTTCATGAGGTTTTATGTCTACATCATGAGTATTCTTTCTTTGGTTTTGATATTTTCTGGCAAATGTATTTACATTTTTCATAATAATAGGCCTTGTATGTGTGATGTGTTTGGCTACGTAAATATGTGCTTTATTTTAAAATAAGCCAACAGCAGTTCTGCAGTTTATTTTGAAATTTAATGTGTTCAGGGACTGTTGTTTATTAGAAGCATATCACTTGTGCATGTTGTAAGCATCATTTACATTTTCTTACATAATTTAACTTCATTTGTTTCTGTTGAAAGAACTGATTTGAAAAATGCAAAATTGGCAGGATGTTGTTTCAATGCTGTGTTGGTAGCATTTAGTGTCAAAAGGATAAATAATGTGTCACGATGTACTCTTAGGTATAGAAGTGGATACTTTTGAATGCAAAGTCAAGAATGGTTAATCTCATTCTGAATTGTTAATTTTAAAAATTATTAAAACAAACCATGGGTGAACATTAACATAGGATGAAAATGGGTAATGAATATTGCAATTAATGATCAACTCTTAATCATCTGTGAAATGTGTAATAGCAAACATTGCTGAATTTACTTCCTTTAAAAGGGTTTCACATCATTGAAATGTCAGTGTATCACCACTGAATGCAGTGGATTGCTGAATATATTGCAGGTTTTTCCAGTGTAACAGGACATTTTTGACATATTAGTTTGATGTAAAATGGTGAATACAAATTTGTAGGTGTCACATTACTGATGACAGTCAGCATTTTATAATAATTTAGGCAATGTGCAAAAAGGATATTTTTTTATAACAACTAACCATACTTTTAATTGTGATGCTCACAATGGCAATTGAGTAATTCAGAAATTAGTTTTATTGTTGAAGAGAAACCAACATTTAAATATTATTTTTGAATAAATGTGTCTTGTACTATTTTTTTTCTTTCTAACAAGAAATTCCAGTGTTTATCTGTCTTGTCATGCTTGAGCATAGATTGCCAGTTGAGCCTCTCTATATCCCACTGTAAGTTCTGTGATTCCACAGTTGTTACCTTCAGAAGCCAGTTATTAGGATGAGTCATTGCTGTGGTGACCATTTTGATCATTTTTTAGCTAGTAATCTTTGTCATGGTCTAGTAGCAGTTGTTTAGATCCAGAAGTGTAATACAATATTTTTTGTCCTAAGAGTGTGTGATTGTTGTTGAAGTGAGTGTGTACATAGTTTTTTTATTCAGTGTTATGTAAAGAAATAATGAATGTTTCCTCCCTGCTGCAGTGGTGTACTAAGGAATGTGCATATTTACATGTCAATACTGAATAAAATTTTCTCCAGTGATCGGCTGAGAAAATTTTATTGAGTTATGTCGCCGCGAAAGCTTCAAATCATATGTCAATACTGGTTAGACATTGTACTATTTCTGTTACATCTCCAGATATGAATGTCATGACATTTTAAGAAAAGAAAAGTGGTTCCATAACTGTAAGAGAAGTGTATTTAATTTCTGAGGGTTCTGAGCTGGCGGCTGATGGAATGAAGAGAACGTAGTCAGCATCCCAGATTAAATGTCGTTTTAGAAGTATATTCAGAATGCGATCAGTAATGAAGCTAACCAAGGGCCATCAAATGAAATTACCTTCTGAGATGAGGAGGAGCAAGATTTTTAGTCAAGAAGCGAAGATGCAACTAATGAAGAAGATGAACATGAAGATGACCCCCTTCCCTCCCATTGTGTAGTTCATGGACAAAAAAGAGACAATTTGTCCATTGAAAGGGAAGCTCCCACAAAGCACTTATCATTCAGAATCACCAATAATACTCCAGGAACATGCTGGACACTTAAAGTCAATACAAACATTACTGAACAGACAAATTTATGTTCAGTGCTAAGTTAAGCCAGACAAACCATTAAATGTTATGACTAATGAAATTGAGCAGATCAGGAGTCCTTTGTTTTTTATATGTCTGTGTATGGCTTACCATATTTTGAAATGTTCTGGATGACAGAAACACACAAGTTGCATATGTTATGAGTCAGGCTGTAAAGTGCAATTGGTATTTTAGTGACAATTGAATTCATGACTGGCATTTTTAAAAGTTTTCCAGTTGATGAGAGTGTGTGTGTGGGTGTTCAGGTATTCCATTTAGAGGAAAGTAGGTACTGAAAGTATGTGCAGAAGAAGACAAAAAGGTGAGGCACAAAGTATTTGCTGTTGTTGCTTGTTCTGGTGTTTTCGTGGCAGCTGAATATGGTCATATCTTCTCGGGTGATCAGTGAGAAAATGCACATCAACATACAAAACAGAAGCATCTTGGTCAGTTTTGATGGGCGCTCTCTTAAAGGTGCCATTATTGGTTACCATCCAGCTACTTTGACACTTGAAGCTGGGATTATGTGTATGTTCCTACAGGTTCCTATATCAATCTACTTTCTTTGCAGTGGGCAATACTGTGATCAGACAGATGGGGTT